CCCGCCCCCAGCTGGTCCAATGTCCCTGCCCCGACACTGTAGACCACTTCCTTGCTCTGACCCACCACACCCAGCCAATCCCGCTGCCCTTCCTGCACCCAGCACTTTCTCACACTCACTGTCATCACCCTGGATCAAGCATGAGCTACAACAAAAGTAGCCGCCCCACTTCATTTTCTCCCTTGCTTGCCCACCAGTCACTTCACTGCCAGGGTGATCTTCTGGAAACACTTGTCTTCCCAGATCAGAAACCTCCAATGAGCCGCCCGCCCTCCATCCTGGCAGTAGTGGGTCTCTGCTGCCCTGCTGCGGGTCTCCTTCTCCACCCGCACAAACCCTCCTCTCCAGGCAAACTCTGTGCCTTCGTGTGTGCCACCCGCCTGCCTCGGGCCCCACCGCCTCCTCTCTGCCTGGCTAAGCCACAGAAACCAAGGCTTCACAGGGTTCAGAGCCAGAAAGACCTGGGTTTGAATCTGTCTCCACCATGTGCTAGCCCTGTGACCTTGGGCAATTAACCTCTCCGCCCCTCAATTTCTCCATCAGTAAAATGAGGTTACACTATCTCTCAGGGTGGCCACAGGGTTTAGTCAGGATGACAGTTGTAAAGGGGAACACTTCCTGCAAAGCCTGGCTGTACTAAGTGCTCTATGAACAACAGCTCACTGCTGTTGTTACTCGGACCCTTCAAGTCCCCTTTCAGGTGCCTTCTCCATCATGAAGCCCTCCCTAATCACTGTAGCCTCTTCCATCCTAGTTTCCTAGCAATTCTAGGATGTGCTAGCCTGTCCTGCCCTGAGGGGCTCTGCTAGCTGTGGCATCTTAGGCAAGTCCCCTTGTCTCTTGTGCCTCAGGTCCTTCATTGAAGGAAGTAAAATGGGCATGAAAATAGTACCCATCCTGTGTGGTTATGCTAAGGGTTATGAGTGAGGGTTCATATGTGAAGTACCTGGCATATAGAAGGCCTGTAGAAATATTAAGTAGCACTAATTTTACTACCGTCCCATGGCATCCCCTCTGCCTATCTACCCCTCCTGCTGTCAAGAGAACTGTGAGCGCTCTGAGTCGGGGGTGGAGACGCCCACTTCCCTGGGGCCTGCCGAAGCACCGAGCACTCAGCAGGGCCTCGCAGGCCCCTGAGCCTCACCCACCGGGCCTTCCCACCTCACAGTTCCACTGGACTGCTAGGCCTTCAAGTCTCCTTTAAGGCCGAGATGCCAAAGTCAGGGTACCTCTCACAAGGGCTGAGGCCTTCAGAGCCCCCCTGCTCTGCCCTAGAACACTCTCTTGTTTCCCCCAGGCCCCGTCCTCTCAGAGTTTCCCTCAGGGACTCAGAAGAGTCCCTCTCTCCTGCAACGAGCAGCCTCTCCTCCCCCCAGCAGCTGCCCACCCCCACCCCAACTCAGTGAGGGACCCCAGGGCAAGGTGCAGCTACAAGGGGCCGGAGGCGGGATTGGGTGCTAACATGGGCCAGGGGCCAGTGCTGGGTGTTTATTGCCAGTGCCATCGACCCGCACAGCTCGCTGTTTATCTGTCTTCCTGACACACCTAATTACCCAGGTTGCAGCTGCCAGAGCGTTTGCTCTTCCTAAATCACGGGCTCCCATCCCTTCCGTCGCCCAGGCCTCGGGCCTCTCCCTGCAGAAGGGCTGCCATTGATTTTGCCATTCCCATTTATGATCTACAAGGCTCTGCATCGCTACAGCACATTTTACCTTAATTAGTTTATTCTTCTGGGTGTCCTCGGTCAGCCTAGATGCCAGGAGGCTGGAAAGGGGGAAGAGGCTAACGGCACTGGACACCCTAACCCCTCTGGCCACAAAGCCAAGAGCCTAGCCAGACATCAACACCCTAGCACAGCAATTTGCTAAGAACAGCATTAGTCCTGCAGGATGCTAGTAGGTGAACTGCAAAAAGGGGTTTCATGGCCAAGTTCATTTGTGAAAGTCTGGATTAAATAAAATTAAACAGATAATTTACTGCAGGACTTTTCAAAGCTTTAATAGACTGATGTCCATTGTGAATCTCCGAGAGGATGATGTGAGGTATGGTCTTCCCCAATCTCCAATGATGATGAAGACTGTCCTCCAGGCAGCTCACAGAGAAAGGACACTTTGGGAAATGCAGTCTTGGGTGGAATTGGAGGTGTTGAGGCAAACAGAGAGAGAGTGAGTCACCCTGGGCCTGTTTTCTCCTCTCCTCTGGCTGAGGCAGAAACTCCTTGTCTTGAGCACTTTCTCCCACTGAATGCAGAGGTGCCATCAGAGCGATGCAGAGCCCCAGCTACCGGCAGCTGCTCTCACACCTGGCCCAGGCTTTGGGAGAGTTCAGCTTTGGTATTTCAGGGGGACCAGACTAGCTGGAAGGACAGTCCAAAGGGGCCCTGGTTTGACAGCAGAGGGCAAGGGTCACTTGCAGTTGGTGAAGGCTGGAGCCTAAGCAACCTGCAGGGCCATCGGAGGTCCCCCCGGGCATCAGGGAGTGATGACAAGGTGCCACAGCCTCGGTGCAGCTGCGGGGATGCAGCCTGGGTCCACAGGCCCTTTCCGCAGTCCTGAAACCCGAAGCGCTCTGAAAGCCTCACGTCCTTTTTTTTTTAAGTTTGTGGGAAAATGAATTGATAGTAAAACCTGCCCTGAGCTGACATGAGCTATTTATGGCTTTATTTATCCCACTTTGTGTGAATATTCATATATTTCACTGCAGAAACATTGATGTATTTAATTATGGGGTGCCGCCCCAGTCCCTGCTGGGGGTGTTATGTAATAAACGGTCTGTGCACTGTGTTACATTTCTAAAGTACGAAGGAGAAATCTAAATATCTAAAAGCCTCTGGTGCTTAGGGATTGCAATGAGGGACGTGGACCTCAGGGGGTGCAGAGCTTCCAGCGAGCAATTCAGTGGTGCCTGACCTGGGGCCAGACTGCAGTGCGATTTCTCCTGTAATTCCCACAGCAATGGCCGTGAGGGAGGGGGCCCAGCTGTCATCCCTGACTCTCACAGAGGAAACCAAAGCTGGAAGAAAAGGAAGAACCGGCCCAGGGCCCCGAGCTCCGAGCTCCTCAGTCAGAGTAAAGCCTGTGCTCTGTCTGGACCGGCTCCTCAGGTGCCCCAGGCAGCATCCCTCCCAAGCCACAGCAGCTCTGCGCAGAGCCCTGCGGCAGCTCCTCGGCCCAGGCCTCCACCTGAACAGACACCTGCGGTCTCCTGGATCTGCTTCCTGTTCAGCTTATGAAGGGCCTTTCCTTCCCTGGGAGGGCCAGGGAGGGTCAGGCAGGGCAGGAGGGCTCTGCTCCAATGTCCGCTCCCTGGTGTCTGGCGAGCATCCCTAAGACCAACTCCAGACCCCACAGACTGTACACCAGCCTCCACGGGCCCCTGTGCTGTCAGGAAGCCCCCACATGCGGCCACTCAGAACAAACCATTTTGTCCTCTCCTGGGCAGAACCGCCTGAGGGGTCCTTTATACGAGACTGCCCTCACATACACATTCACCCGCTCACACTCGGTTTCACACATCCGCTCATTGTCACACTCACACTCACTCCCTCACATGCGCTCACTCGTACTCTCGCGGTCCTCACTCCTTCTCAGATTCACACTCACTCTCACGCGCTTATTCTCATCCATTCATTCCTTCAATCCCACGCTGACTCTCACCAAGCCCATGCAGTGCAGACATGATGCCCCTAAAAGGACCTAATGAGCATCTCGTCTCTGAAATGGGAATAATTATTTCTGTCCAATGCTACCTTTTTTTTTGGTTGGGGGGGTGCTGTGTTAAACCTGTAATGTGCATCATCGAACTTATTACTCCTCACAGTAAACTTGAGTGCGGTCATTGTCATCCCCACTTACAAATAAGAAAACTGAGGCTCAGAGATGCTAAGCAACTTGCCCAAAGTCAACAGCTAAAACCTAGAAGTAGAATCTGAGTGGAACTGAGACTGAGCCGGGGGCTCATTTACTCTAAACTCCGAGGTCTTCAGGCTAAGCCCACTGCCTCTCCCCTGGGCCAGCCAGAGAGTCAAGTTCAGGGGCTCTGTCCCCAACTCCACTCTTCCCCGAGCTCACCTTCCCTGATTCCTTCAGCGGCTCCTCTCCTGTGTTTCCTGTGCAAATTCTTGGGGGTTGAATATGATCCCTCCTAATATATGAAGGCTCTGAGTCTCAAATTTGCAAGAAATAAACTAAGAGTGAGAGCAGAGGAGGGTGCTCTGCTTTAGTGGTTCTCAGAAGGGCTTGGACTCCCGCCACCAGAAGTTCCTCACCATGTCCCCAGAACAAAACTTCTTGGCCATGAATGAGCTTCAGGAGGCCACAGACCTCCTACGATTCCATATGGCATGTTGTGTGGTGCAGAGTCCCTGAGCTGAGGGCCTTAGCTTCCCTCCAGTTCTCAGAGAGGTCAGTACCCCAAAGAGATGACGACTACTACCCTCTAGGGACCTCCCAGGGCTGCCTGAGTGCTGACCCTACTGCCACCTGGTACCCCGGGGGTGGAGGTCACACTCCTGTCACAGGTCAACTTCCAGCCCCTTCCTTGATTAGGACTTAGAGACCCACCCAGTTTCTTTTGAGACCCAAATCCGGTCCTGCAGAGAATGGAGGGGACAGCCCCTGGAGAAAGAGACATTCTGGGTAGAGCTGGGATGCTGAAATACTGGCAATCCTGGTGATGGTGACGGAACACGTGCAGACAGTGAAGTCCAGTTGTGGAGGGTCCTGTCAGACACGCGGTAGCAGTAACACTTCTTTCGTAGTTTCTGAGGTCAGGCTGGCCATTTTCATAAGCTTCAGAGTCTCTGCTCTCCACTGAAAATACCTGAGTGACCTCCAAACAGAGGAGTCTCGTCTGCTTGAGTAACTACACTCATCAAGGAGTGCTCACCTTGAGCAGACAACCCACATTCACCTGCGGCCCAAATCTCTGTGGCAGGTACCCCGAAACCTACCTGCACTCTGGCCCAGTATCCACCAGCCTCCCTTTCCTCCTTTCTCCAGGGGTGGCCACATACACAGACAAGTTGTTCAAGTTCCGCAATAGCAGGTGGGAAGACATCCTGAGCGACGAGGTCAACGTGGCCCGGGGAGTAGCCAGCCTCTTTGCCGGGCGCTCTGTGGCCTGTGTGGACAGGACGGTGAGTTCAGGGGTGCATGGAGGGCCTGGGGCAGGAGGGGCACACAGCAATGTGTGAGCCAGAGGGGAGCTAATAGGCAGATGTCCCCAGACAGAGTGCAGCTTCTGAGGGCAGAGCTGAAGGCTGCACCATCTCGGCAGCTCCTGGTGCCTTGCACCTAGTAGATGCTAAAGAGTAACAGCCAAGACTCGCTGGATGAGTTACAATATACTTTCCCATCATTTCTCCCATAAGGCCCTCCCAGCAACCAGTGAGGAACCTGGCCAGGTGCTGTTATCCACTAGACAGGGTCACTGAGGCCCAGCTTACAGCAGTGACTTGCCTGAGGACCCAGAATCGATTAGTGGCTAGGACCAGAATCAGAATCTTCAAGCTCTGAACTTTGTGCTCATTCGTTCTTTCAATTAATATTTATTAAGCACCTACTGTGTGCCAGGCATTGAGCCATGAGGGGCCCCTGAGCAAATGAAAGCATGACAAAGGGGCTCATGGGTGGGTGAGTGGGAGGTGGCCACAGTGTCCAAGTACTTTAGTTAATCAGTAGCTCCATCAACGCTTTCCTGCCCTGCCAGTCCGCCCTACCAGAAGGGTGGGGAGGAAGGGCCAAGTGGGGAAGAAGGAGCACCTGCAGCCATCTGCCCTGTGGGGCTGCCTCCACCGGGCTTGCGTCCCAGCAGCCCCAGCCAGAGCTGGAGGCTTGCTGTGGAGGTGATTTATCCCTCCTGTCACTTGCTCCCCTGCCGCCCCCTTCTTGACTTTACAAAACAGCCCTCACTAAATCAGGGACCCAGCTGCTGCCCGGCTTCCATGGGAGCGGAGCAGCTCTGGCCTGTATTCTGGGGGCTGTGGTGAGGGTGTTGGCTCATTTCAGGACTGAAGTGGCACAGAGGGGATTGGGGATTCAGCGTGAACCTTCGTGGCAGGGGCCTCCAGGCCTTGGGAAAGGCAGGTGCCAGGTATAAATATTTATTTCTTAACAAGCTGGTTCTGAGAAGACAAGCCAAGCTGGGCTGTGAAGCCACATTTAGCCCTGACCTGAATCTGTGCCACCTGGACTCCTGCCTGATGGGAGGGAAGGGAGAGGCTGCTCCGCGAGCGGCCCCAGAGAACGGGAGGGTCTGAGGGGGGCCAGGCCCGGCTGCTGCTGGGGCCTCTACCCAGTCTCCTCCTGGCTCAGTCTTTCAGGACCAAGGCTTCCTACACTCTGCTTAGGTGGGAACCCTCTCGAATCCAGTGGGAGGGCCTGAAGGTTAATCACAAAGAGGTGCACTCTCGTCCTAACAAGGTCATCTGCACACCCACACATTTAACCACGGGACAAAGGCACCATGTAAAATGCAAAAAAAAAAAAAAAAAAAAAAACCAATTGGCACACAGCACAGTAGGCGGGCACTTAGCCGCTCACTCGGTCCCTGCTCAGTCCAAGCCTCAGCCCGTCTGCCACCAGCAGAGGGGCGGCTTTTCTGATTCTGCCACCACCTTGGCATCCCAGCACCTGAGAACTGTGGAAGGAGGAGTAGGAAGAGGTCAACACCAGTCTGGAAGCTGAGAGAGAGGAATACAGCGTGATGTAGGAAAATACAAGAACAATCATAACAATAATAGCTATCACTTACTAAACTAACAACATGACCAGCCCTGAGCTAAGCAGTTTACAAGCATCATCTTATTGAATCCTTATAACAAGCCTATGAGGTAGATGCTGTCATTATCCCCATTTTACAGATATGGAAAATAAGCCTTGGAGCAATGAAGCAACTTGACCTTGGTCACATAGCCAAGATTGAGTCCTGCCTCCTGAAAATGAACCAGAGACCTTTTTACTCCTCTGCCTCTGAGTGAACTGGTATCAGTCACAAATTTCTCACCACAAGTTCTATCACAGCGTTCACCCTGCTCCTTCCTCAGCCCCACAGCCCTACCTGGGGCCTTTTAAGTCTACCCAGTCAGTGGTTTTTGCAGTGAGGTCCCCAACCAGCAGAATCAGCACGATTAGAAATGTCCATTTTCAGGCCCCATCCTACTCCACCGCCACCCTCCAGACCCATTGGATCAGAATTCCTGGGGGTGGGGCCCAGCACTCTTGGTTTTCAACTAGGTCTGCAGGTGATTCTGATGCAGGCTGAAGTCTGAGGACCATCGCCCAGATAAATGGCTCAACGCTACCGCCGGCCGTTCTCTCCCTCTCCCCTTCCAGCCTGTGTTTGTTCTCTGCCCCAAACCTGGAACAGTGCCTGCCCTTCATCTTCAGCTGCCTCATCATTCACCCACCTTTCTGGATCCAACTCAAAGCCAATCTCTTACAAGAAGCGTCCCCTGATCGATAATGATTATGCCTCATGTTTATATAGCATTTTTTTTATCTTTCAAAGACCTTTCATATGCACTGTCTCTTTTTATCTTCTCAACAACCCTGCCAGGAAGAAGGGAGAATATGATTCCCATTTAACATGTGAGGAGATGCAGCTGAAGGGGGTGAGGAATCTGCCCAAGGATAAGGAGCCAATTAGGGGTAGAGCCTGGGCTAGGACCCAGGCTAATAGCCCTAGAGCATCGGTTCTCAAAGTGTGGTTTCTGGACCAATGCATCAGCTTCACCTGGGAGCCTGTTAGAAATGCAGATTCTCGGGGCCCACTCCAGACCTGAAGCAGAAAGTCTGGGGATGGAACCCAGCTTCTAGATTTTAACAAGCCCTCCAAGGATTAGGCTAAATGGTGAGACCCACTTTCCTAGACCCAAAGCTGCAGAAACCTGGAGTGACTTCCATCTCACCCTCCTAGAATGGCTGTGGTCAAGTTCACGTGAGAATTTCTGCCACCATCTACAACTTTCACACACCTATGTTTGTCAGGTTAATCACCCCAATACAGTGAAGTAAGGAACTAGGTACAACTGAAATTTATAAATATTCTAATTTTTAACAGAGTGCATTTCAGTTTATTTAGCTTTAATTGCCCATTTGTTGATGAAATTGCTAACAGCTGGTAGGGTCGGAAACAGTTACAGTGATGGTGTACTTTCACCTTTGGCCCCATTCATTCACTCTCTATCCAATCATTTCACACACATATGCCAAGCTCCTGTGATCAGCAAGAACCTTCCACAATTCTCCCCTAATCATGAAGCCATGTTGAAAACCGTGTATCTCAAACTTCCATTTAGCATAGGGATTCCCCTGGGAGCCTTATGAAAATGAAGATTCTGCCCTAGCTGCATGGTCCAGGTGGTTGGCGCATCATCCCATGCACCAAAAGATTGTGGGTTCAATCCCCAGTCAGGGCACATACCTAGGTTGATGGTTGGATCCCTGGTCAGGGCCCATGCAGGAGGCAAGTGATCAATGTTTCTCTCTCACATCGATATATGTATGTGTCTCTCTCTCCTCTCCCTCTCTCCCTTTCTCTCCCTCTCTCCCCCCCACCCCCCTTCTCTCTTGAAAATCAATAAACATATCCTCAGATGAGGATTACAGAAAAATGAAGTAAAGAAAAAGCGATTCTGATTCAGCAGGTCTAGGGTAGGACCTGAGAGTTCTAACATGATCTCAGATGACACCAGTGCTGCTGGCCCTGAGACCCCTATGAATAAAACGGTTTGCAAAGCATTACTTCCCAGGTAGCAGGACAGAGACTCAGATAACCAAAAAAGAAAGGGCATAGAAGTCCTCAGGGAATAGCGGTGCCACCCTCTCCAGCTTTGTCCCCTGACACACCCTGCCTTTCATTTTACATTCCAGCGACACTGAACGAACTGCTTATGATTTCCCTACATACATCATTCTCTGTCTCATCTCTGCCTGGAAGGTTCTTTCCCCTCCACTTCACCTGGCTGAGACTCCTCTTAGAAAACCTTTTCTGAATTCCCAATGGCTAGGTGCCCTTCCTCTGGGATAGGAGCCCCTCTTCTGTGCACCCAGGAAGTCCTGTACACACCGTCTCAATCATATATATAATTGTATGATTGTTGGAGTATCTGAATCTCCCAGGACACCCTGAGGTCATTCGTTGGCCTCACCCACCAAGTGGCTCTTAATTAGCTTTCACAAAGAAAATGGTCCCAAAGAAGAGATCTTGTCAGTGCCCAGTTAATTGGAACAGGGTTCTGCTCATAGGGCCACTGAGTAAGAAACAGAAGCGAGCAAGAGGGTTGAAAAGAGGGGGTGACAGATCACACTCCTGTTGTCTTGAACTCAGCTGTTTCTCTTGCATTGTTTTGTGTTTATGGCCTGCCTTTTAACTCAACTATGAGCAACCTAAGAATGAAGACTTTGTCTTAAGCTCATTTATAGCAGAGTGCCTTGCACATAGTTAGAGCTCAAGAAAGATCTACTATATGAATAATTAGAGGGAAATGATGTAAAGGGTGAGAGGAAAGCTAGAAAACTGTTTTAGAAATTGTGTGGCTCTCCTGGGGGAAAGGAGGCATCCATTGGAGAAATAACATCATTATAATGACGGGCAGAAAAGAATCTTTCATGAGCAGTGTCTCGGACTACAGAAGAGAGTGACTACAGCAACGAGGAGGATGCAAAGGAAAAAAAATATTTGAGACAGTGTTATAAAGGCAGAAGCAGTGTAATATTTCTTTCTATAATGTGAGGAAAACAAAGGAAGGGAAGAGGAAAGGAGGACCCCTGCATTTCTGAGCCTCTCGTACTACTGAAATCGAGGAATGAAGAAGTATAGGATGGGAAGGGGGGGTGGGAGATGTCTCAGGAATTTGCTTGTCATCTTGGCTGGAGTGAGCCTGAATGGGAGAGAGAGACTGAGAATAATGGGAACTGGTAGATCAATCAATCAGCAAATATTTATTGAGCAGCTACCCTAGCTGGCAGCTGGAGAGAGCTCAGCTGGAGGGAGGCACATTAGAAAATTGTCTATAAAAAGGTGGCTGTGGGGGAGAGAGAGGGATGTGTTCTTCTGGAACAGGATAGAAAGAGAAGGAGGGTGGCTTTTTTGTGGGACTCCAGGGGGCATCATGCACTTTGTAGCCTCTGTGAAAAGCATGTCTGGGGTTGTGCAAGCACAGAGCAAGGCTGTGCACACCAGACCCAGGGAGAAGAACCTGACCCCATGAAAGAGCTGTGGTCCTGCGGGAAAGACCTCAGTGAGCCTGGATGGGTCTGCTCACCCACCTCCTTCCCTTCCTCCTCAGGGCTCCGGACGCTACTCTATCTACATCGCCAATTATGCCTATGGTAACGTGGGCCCCGATGCCCTCATTGAAATGGACCCTGAGGCCAGTGACCTCTCCCGGGGCATCCTGGCGCTCAGAGATGTGGCTGCTGAGGCTGGGGTCAGCAAGTATACAGGTATGCAGGTGACGTGGGAGGCTGCAAGCTGGAGGGGTTGGGGGCTAGGCCTGGGGGACAGGCCTTGCAAGGCTGGGTCTAGATTATCAGAGACCACAGAACAGGATGGGTTGGTGTCCTGGGGAGGGAGGATGAAGACTTTATTTCATCCCACCACCCACAGCAGGCTCCTCCACCGCTGCCTCTCCAAGGGTTGATGAGATACCTGGCAGGTGTGGGCTTTAGGGAGCCCCTTGGGGCACATCAGACATGGGGTCTGAACACCATAGCCTCATCCTGTCCCTGTCCCAACTCCCTGCTGTGACCCAAATGATGGGCGAACAGGTTCTGTAGGGAAAAACTGACAAGTCGCAACGGCTGAGATTTAAAGCATTCTTTATTGCCAAACAGCAGATGAAATTATTTACTTACACATAAGCAGCCAGGAATTGAGTGCTAGCTAAATCCTTAAGCTTCAGCTGGGTCCCGTCTCGGATAACTGAGCTCAAAGAATTGTGTTCTTGTTCCAAAACCTCTCCAGCACTTTTTTGGAAGGCAAGCTCCCCCCACATCTTTCTGGAGGGGGACCTATTGTCAGAGTCTCCGACAGGGAGATCTTTCTAGGGAAGGCTGTTTTTCTAATTCTAGCACGGCTGCTGACTAAACTCTGATAACCTGCCAATAGACTGCTGATGGCAGAGCCATCAGTTCCTGTCTGGGGTGCCAAAATCCAGGAAGCCAGGGCTGTGCACATGAACTTCAGCCTCACTCATACGGCACCGCCCTCTGGACTTAGACATTCTTTCATTGATTGACCTTCCCAATATATCCATCCCGGTTTGCACTACAGACTTCCATAGTGGCCACCTGCCTGAATCCGAATCCTGCGGCTGGCAGGGTCCCTGAGGGGTCATTTGGGCTGTTCCCCCTGCCTCCAGACACATCAGTGCTGGTATAATCTCAAAATCCTACCCAGAAAGGGTTGTCACAGCCTCCCCTGAGTTGATGATGCCGTTCTCTAGACAAATTCCCACCTCAGTGAAAGGGGGAGATTGATGTTGGCCTGTCTGACAAAGTTTGTGAGAATATTAGACAATAGTTTGCTCAGCTCAAGCCCCATCAAAGCCCTCCAGAGCGCCACACATGAATGTGTAGCAGGAAGGCTGAGTGTCAGTAATAAACTATGTTTTCCTGGGAAAAGGAATAAACATGCAAGAGCTTCAGCCTAGATTTGTACAGTCAGTTTTTCTGAATAGGTCCCAGTTTTGTGCACTGGGCTGGCTTGGCAATTAACTGCCTTGATCTGCAGAAGAAGGAGGGTGGGCTGGGGAGATGTAGCACTTGAAAATGATGAGGTAGAAGGGAGGCAAGGTCTGGGAGAGGGTTATACACAGAATAAAAGAATTCAGAAGGTTGTAGCTGGGTTTGAGCATGAAGGGGACATTGTTCACACTGGCTGGGCTGGCAGAGGGCCTGGCAGGAACCGAGGAGGGGGAAGGAGCGGACCAAGCAGGGACAGCTGAGGAGCGTGGACAGGGATGGGAGCACCGGCCAACCATGCCGGGCTGCGCTGGAAGGACGGGGCAGCTCAAGGAAGGGGCAGCAGCTTCTGTGGAACACACAGGCGGGCTGGGGCAGCTGGCATACCCAGAAGACACGTTAGAGCAGCTTCGCAGACTTCCAAAAGCCATTTGGCTGACAAGAACCTATTTGGCCCACCAAGTTACTAGTATGTCTGCCCGCCTTCCCCAGCCCACCCTTTTCCTGTCTGCCAAGGCTCCCAACTCCATCCTGCACTCCCCTTTGTCATTCCGTTGACAACTCGGTGGACATCTGGCCGGAAAACTAGCCCAGAGCACTCCCCTGAGTCCCAGGAATGGCCCCTGAGTGTAAAGACCACCCCTGAGCCCAGCCTGATTGCTGAGGCTCTGGCTCGCAGCCAGTGCTCCGCTCCAGGCCAGTGCTCCAGGGCCTGGGAAGGATGAAGGGGTGGGCAGTGAGGTGCAGGGTCCTGAGCAGGCTGGGAGGGCAGCAAGCCATGGCCGGATGTGCAGTCAGGGAGCCGCAGGTCCCCAGAACCAAGCCACACGCAACACCCATCTGCTGGACAGACCTCACAGCACTTCCCACTTTACAAAAATACACACAGAGGTCCAGAGACAGAAGGGGCTTGCCCTCGGTCACACAGGAGGGTGTAGAGACAGTAGCAGTTAGAGCCCCGTCCTCGATGCCTAAATTGCCACAGCCAGCCGACCTCTCTGATGACCTCCAGCTGGAGAGACCTGTTCCAACCTGCGAGACAGGCACTGGCGAAAGAGGCCCACTGGGACTGCAGCCCCAGGGACTGGCGCTCGGACCTTCGTTGTGGCCCCTGGTTTTGGTGGCTTTGGCAGCTGCCTGACCTGGGGTGCTCAGGGCAGCCAGAGAGGCCCGGCGACCCCCGGTCGGTCGGCAAGCGGGGTGATGGCTCTGCCGGCACTGGCTGACTGCCTTCTCCCGAGGGGGAGGGGAGGCCTCGTCTCCAGACGGTCGGTGCTGCTGGCGGCCGCTGCTCTCCTGGGTCACAGTGCCATCTAGCGACCAGCATGCCCGCTCTCTGGGGACCCGGGGGACTCGCGGGCCCCTGGAGGGCTGCATGGGGAGACCACTGGTGCTGGGTTGAGCTGAGGCAAGGCCACTCCTCATGGTTTGCAGTTGGATGAGAATCGGCAGCCCTGACTCCCCTAGCTGCCAGCAGCCCCTTGGAGCCTGGACAGTGCCAGGAACTGCCCTTCACGGGAATCCTGAGAATTACTTCTCCCCATGGTGGAGGGCCTGGCATGGAACCCCAGGAGGGCAAGGGTGGGAACTAAGTGGCCTGCACTGCCTCCAGTCCCAGGTGTCCTTGGGTAAGTCCCTTAGCCCCTGTGAGCACCTTCAACTAGCCATCTGACAGAGCTGCTGAGAGGACAGTGTCTGAGGCCAGAGTGCCAGATGCAGATCCTACCTCTATCATGTCCTGTCCAGGCAGGATTATTACCCTCTGTGGGCCTCAGTTTTCTCATTTTTCTGCAAAATGGGGGTGTTTGAGAACGAAAGGGGGTAAACCTGGGACGCGCCTGGCACAGGGCCTAGCACACCCGCACGGCCCGCCTAGTGCGGCCAACAGCAACACGCCCCTCCCCTGAGGTTCTGACAGTGATGCCAGGGCCCCTGCTGGGCATCCCCTGAGGGTGGGGAGTGCCATGCTGGGCACGGGGCGGCGGGGGTGGGGGGGACGCGGAGCACAAAGCGCGCAGGCTCAGCCCTGCCCTGGGGGCATCCTCCAGTGTCCCGCAGCCCTGGGCACAAACATGGGCCCCTTCATCCTGTGTCCGCTGGAATCCTTCTCTCTTCCCTTCTCTCTGACCCTGTCTTCCCCTGAACTCCAACCCTCCCCAGGACCTCTGCATTTTGGCCTCATCCTTTAGGGGAGCATCTGTGTGGGCTGCAAGGTGATAATTAAAGAAGCCTTAAAAGAAATTTGGAAAGAAAATGAAGGTGGATTTATGATGTTGGGTGGGGAGTTTCACTGTTGGCTGGGAGCTGAGCAGAACAAAGTGGAGGGCAGATCTGATTTACAGGAAGTCATTATTGGAGGAGACAGAGATGCTTACAGCCCAGCTGAGGCCTTCTGGCAGATCCCCACCAGCCAGCCCTGGAGAGGTGACCGGGGGCGGCAGAGTGGGGACTGCAGAGCCTCCCAGCTTCCAAGGCGGGCACTAGCCTGGCAGCACGAGCGCAGCCAGTGGCAGCCGGGGACAGTCAGGGCTAGAGTGACAGCCTCCTCAGCCAGGGCCCTGGACCTCTGCCAGGGGTACCCAAAGCCTTGAGATACACAGGCTATCAGATGCACTAGATGATTGACAAGAAGGGACATGACTTATTTTTTTCCCCAAAACAAATGCAGATATGTCATACAATACAAATTCAATCTCAAGACACATTTTCTTAAAGCTAAAATAAGAGATTTTAAAGAAATGTAAAGCCTGTGCCTGGCTACTCTGGGCCTCTCCAGAAGGACAGGTGGCTCCTCTGGGGAGAGGAGACTTTAGCAAAAATATCTGCGAGCACAGGGGGATAGCCTGGGGCCTGCGGGCACCCAGGCTGGGTGTGAACTGTGACCTGTGGTCTGCTGGCCGCCATCGCACCTCCCTGAGCCTTGGATCCCTCGCCTAGGATCCCTCGCCTAGGAAATGGCATGGTAAGATGAAACGTGGTCAGTACTTGCTCCACAGGACTGAAAAACAGGTGGCCAGTAGAGCTATTCCTGCCCCTCCTTTACCTGCCTTCCCTTCTGAAGCAGCTTCTTCCTGCCCCTCACTGCCTAGGGGGAAGGGGTGCACAGTGAGGATCGAATTCCCTTCTGTAACCCCCTGGGTGCCCACGGTGTGGGAATCCCCACCCAGCAGACAAATGCTGGAGCCTGCCCTCTTGCCCACCTGCCTCCCAGCGTCCTGCAGGGACGGGCAGGGAAGACTGCGGGAGCAGTGCAAATGTCCTTGTCTAATGTCCCTGTACACTCGTACCCGTGGATCCTTGCCCAGCGTCTGATAGCTCACAGAGGGCTTTGGGGGGAGGGGGGGAGGGCACAGGCAACAACACAGCATTAGCACCAACACAGCGTTACTACATGTTAGAACTTCAGGAAATTTAGGGCGAGAGACCCTGTTACCACCCAGCCCCCACCCTCACACCCCCTTCTCCAGCACACACGTGCGTACGCACACCGCCCATTCCTCCACCCCTGCATTCTCTAGCATCTTTGCTATTCTTTTACAATACCTTGGATGTTCTTGGCAGCCTGCAGGCCCCGGCGTCTACCAGGGTCATATTCCTATCAAGGGCTCAGCAATCTGCTCTGACAGGTCCCCGTTCCTTGGCCTGCAGGCCTCGCCCCGCCTCAGACTCCGCGGTGCTGAGTCTAGATGGGCCCGGGATTCCACTCCCAGGCACGGCTATCCTGTGACCAAGCCTGGAGGATGCCCTGCAGGGCAAAGGTG